AAAAAACGAAAGGTCGGTGACCTAACTTACGCTTCCTCAAAACGCAAAGCTACGGCAGCCCCGCCGCACTTGATAGCACTTGTTGGTCAATCTACACCTGCGTCGTTTAGACTGATCCTCAGTGAGGATGACAAAATTTTCCTCTTTGCCCCAGGGCATGCAGGACGGGCTTAACAAGCTGATGTCTTTGCTGGGCCCTGCGTGCGTGCAGCACCTTGCAGCGCAAGGCTCTGAGGTAATTGGTGCGCGTCTAGAAACGTTTTCAGATTACGAAAACGCGCTTCAAGATCACCTGCAGTAGAAGATGTCTGCATCATTTGCGCCTATGACGCCACCGTCAGTAACGGATGACTTTCCCCGCTCTAATTCGGTCCTGGTGACTGTTAAGACCTTTGAGGGGAATGATGGAGAGAATCTTTTTCTCTGGGTGAGAAAGGTTGGGCTGGCCATCGCATCTGTCATGCTCCAAACCGAGCAACAGCGCGTGGCGCTAGCCATCTCAAAGCTGGGTGGTCGAGCGCGGGAATGGGTACTGACTTTCGGTACTTCGGTCGAAGCTGCGTTTCCCTCCTAGGCGGAGCTATTATTGCAGCTCTCACGAGTGTTCTCGCCGCCTAATCAGGCATATCGCATACGATCGCGCGTCCTTGCCGCCCGACAGGACAACACGGAATTGGTAGACTTGGTCCAAGAGATGCGTGCTTTCATTGCCGGGATGGCAGCAGATCCCCTTAGTGAGGCGGTCACAGTGACCGCCTCACTAAGAAAGGTCTCCGCACTGGCGTTACCAGAATGGAATAATTTTTTGCGCATCCGTCCTGATTTAAACAGGCGGTGAATATGGCATTGAATGCCGCTTTCAATTTCAAGTCGGCACGGGTTTCTTGGAATCCACACTTCAACAGCTCGTCGAGCGGGCCTGTGCCTATGGAACTCAGCTGTTTTGAGGACCAGGGAGCGGAGCTTCGAGCCCCCGAGCAGCATACACATATTTGACGGTGTTTTGTCTGTTGAGATACCCGTCACCTTCGAAACGGTTGCCCCCTGCGCAAGGCGCGTCAAGGTTCTTCGAATCATCGCCCCAATGACTACCAGTCTGGTTCGTCTCGAGGAAACGACACACTCAGCAGGCGCGTGGCGACCTACTGGGGGAGAACTGAGCTCTGTTGAGCCTCAGGTAGGCATAGGTCAACAGGGTTCAGTCCCGAAGAGCTCCGTGCTCTTGAACACGGAACGTGCATGCAAGCTGGGCTTGCCGGTCGTGGATGTGACCGTTAAGGGCTGCGAGAAGCCAAGAAAGATCCCCATCGATTCCGGGGTGTCGGGCAACTATTCTAGACGCTCCACGATGGAAGGAAGTCAGCCGTATGCTATGGCGCTGAAAGCGCAGCTGAATGACGTCGTCACTGTTCGCCATGCAAGGGGGACACGTGTCACGGTCCCGAAGGTCTCTGTGGGCCTCGGAGTCAAGTTCCTTGACTTTGATAGCGTGAAACGCTGTCCAGTCTTAGACTTGGATGCAAGGTATGACCTCATCCTAGAAATGGCATGGTTGGAACACCATGAGCCATGGATTGATTAGATATCAAAGACCTTGGGCGCTACGCGCACGTCTCCTGGTGGAGCATTGGTGAGTCATAAACCCACCTCTGCGTGGAGACAAAAGCGCCATCGGCGAGAGCACTGGACCGAGACGGTCAACGTGCTGGACATTGGAATGTCCGAGTTTGTAAAAGCCAATGGTGTATTGGACAGGAGTTCCGAGCGTGGTTCGCGGGCTGATCGTGGAATGGCACGCAACCCACTGAGCGCTGCTCAAGTTTCGAAGCAGTCGCTGCATGTCATGTGTGACGTGGTCGGCCAAGGGCCGTGGCATCTTGTGCACGGCCTTTCTGATGCGCGTGAAGTGGCATGTAAACCACTGAGCACTGCCCTAAATGCGAAGCAATCGCTGCATGCCATTGATGTCGTGGTCGGACAGATTCCGAGGCATCTTGGGCGCGGCCCTTGAGATGCGCGTGAAGCGGCACGTTATCTACTGGACGAAGACTACGGGATTAGCAGCTCTTCGTCAGATGTTGTAAATAACATCGGAGCTACAAAGGAGCGGACAGTGAGGGTGACACCGGACTACGCGGAGTGCGTGTTCACCCTCGTCTCACCGAGACATAGAACCTTTGTACAGAGGCGACGGCGACGCCGTATGCTGGCTG